CCGAAGTTCTGCTAATCTGCAATTAATACCAGGGACACATATGAAACTATATACTATAGATAGCACAGATAGAACTTATGGGGCGCCAAGGGCTTAACTTAGAGATATCATCTAGTGGAAAGTGAATATAAACATTCAAACAGCAAAGGATACGCGACGGATAGTCTAATTCCATTTTATCCAGGTTCCATTCTTGCTAAATAAATTGTAGTATTCGTGAGATACTTAGAATGTGCGCTTGTTTAAGGACAGGAGACACAATAGTCACTATAAACATTCTCTGGCTTATTTAGTCTTATAAACTGCTGGATATTGTACGACTAAGTAAATTATGACCCACAATATTATTAGTATCTTTTTTAGTATTGTGCTATTATAAACCACATTGAATCATAGGTTAGATTTCATCTGACTCAGAGTACGATTTCGTAACGATTTATTTGCATTGCACACACTACCCACCGTGTGTACGCAGGTGTCTAGAAACTGACTTTTACCCCAGATTCAGTTCTGTGACAGCTAGACAGTTAGCCAGATGTCCGGCTGACGAGGTGGCAAACAATGCCAACAATTAATGACTGAGCCCGGCCATTTCCTTTGCGACAGGACCTCCTCCTTCTCCCGATCGAGCAACAAATAGTGAAAAGCCTTGCGTGCACACCAAAAAGTGAGAAGCGGGGCAGGAAAGTGTGGCAAGTAATCATAACGGTCGCTTTCCGAGGTGGCAGGGCCATAAAAAAGGACTTAGGGGTAGTGTAATTGCAGCTAACTACTAGTTCTGCTTCCCATTAACGTTTTGGGGTAATTTTCGCAAATTTTCTTTTGCAAGGATTTTTCGCATTTTTCCCCGAATTTTCCTTTTTTGTGCGGAAGCCCACACAATGGTGGACTTACCGCGGGATTTTCGCGCGAATAGTTGTTTTAAGCCGGAAGTGGAACTACCGGGATCCGTCAGCTTAGGATCAGGAAAGGATTTCTCCGCCGTAACCCCCATTAAATCGCTCGTGCCGTGTCCGTTGTTTACATTTGACAATAACTGGGCATGAAACCGTTGTTTTGCCGACATTTTAGTGCCAACCTTCCAATTCAATTTATGCACAACGGAAAAAATTAACAAATATCAACCATAAATTAGAAATGTCAGCTTCATTATGCACATGGCGCTGCATAGTAATTAGGCAGCTTCGCGCGTCTGCAAACTACCTATAAATTTATGACCACTTGATGAACTGCACCCGGATCCGAGACGAAATCTGGGGTTGGGCTCTCACATTTCGTCCTGGTCGCCGGTTGCTGGTTTCTGGCTGAGCTCATTTGCATAACAATCAACTCATCGTTTGTGGTACAGCTACCATACCATGTTCCACCATGAACCACTCCTTGCCAGGATTTTTCCATTTTCAGTCCAGTAAAAGGGTGCTGCCTCAAATGCTAATGTTTCGCGTACACTGGCGGCGGGTGTGAAGTTGTAAAGTTTAATGTATTGTTTGTCTAACAGTTTATTCATTTGGAAAAGGAATATATTTGAAATGCCCTTTCTTTTTTTTTTTTTTTTTTTTTTGGCACAGTCCCATAATGCGAGTGTGACTGGAATTGAAAAATTATTCTTATATGGGGTTGGAAAACTCCTTGCGTTTTGATAAACTGATTCTGAAAAGTTCTCTTAATAATCATTCATGTGTAAGACAATTTATCTTCTGCAGAGAAATGTAATTTAAGCTGTAATTAAAGATCACGGAAGTAAATATCACGCACGAATTGAGTTTAGCTAAATAATACATATTTTTTTAATAATCTTTTATTTTTTATATGCTATCTACTATTATCTTTCAATAGTTATAATTATTATATTATCTTTCACAATTATTGGATAACATATTACAATCGACCCATTACTTTTTTAATGAATGTTCTTTAATCTTTACCGAACATCACACTTGAATTCTGTGAATTCTGCTAAGGAATCAACATATATAAAGTATCCTGAAATAGCCCACAGTAACTTCTGCTTCGTCCTTCGTTGACATAATTTTCCGCAACCTTAATCGAATTTTCTGGTCTTATCGGTAGTGGGCAGCAACATGATCTCAATTCGATTTGCCTAATAGAGGAACATGCGCTATATAGTTATCTGATCTTTGATTTACATGTGTTAACATTTTCGTTTTGTTTTCCCTGTGCTGCGTACCACTTTCTGGCTCAACAATGTGACATAAATCTGCTTAAATTTGACTAAAACCGCTCTGATCGGATTAGAAATCAGCGCTTGCATAACATTTTACAGTTTCAGCCGAGGGACGATTGCACACAAATGCGACAGATTGGCTTCCTTCCACGGATTCTGAAAAATAGAGAAATAAAAAGGTCCTGTTCCAGGGCTCTCGGGTACGAGTACGGGTACGGGTACAAAGTGTAACAAAATACTCGAGCCGGCTGTTTGTTTATCCAATGTTTTTCGGTTAGATGAGCACACAACTCGAAAGCGACAAAGGTAGGGCACACATGGATTTTTTCGATTTGGAAGAGTAACGTATACGAGGTCGCCACCCCGGAAGGTTCGGGCTCACAAAAAACAACAACCAGAGAACGTCAAAGATTTCACAGATAAACCAATTCGAGCAGGGCAATGAATGGCAAAAAGGTCGAGCAACTTGCCGCTAAAAAGCGAACGTGTAGCTATTGCACCAGAGCGAATCTCTGCCTTCCATGTTTGATCAGGACCAGAAAGGGGTAATAAACAATGGATCCGGGGCTGCAATGACCACGTGCACCGGCAAAGGGTTAAAAAATGTGTGCCAACTTCTTGCTAAAAAGGCGTAAAACAATCAATACGGCAAATAAAATTCGATTTGCAAAATGGGAATCGCAAAAGGGCAAGGACAAATTGGCGCGGTGTCGTCTGGAACGGTGTGATATATGATCTTAATATTTCATGCTTTCCATTCCAAGGGTTGAACTCTGACTCTACTCTCACGTATGCATATCCAACCTTTGACACACAAAATATTAAATATCCTGTGCTTACGTGTATCTTTTTGATATTAACTTAAAAAGATGGTTTTAGAACACCACAATTTACTATACCCTCAATTAATTTGCTCAATGAAACATATTTTCCACAAATGGTTTGAAATTTGTATTTCTCTTTTGATAAAGAATATAATTCTTATCTTCAGCTTGTGGTTATCTAAAATTCGTGTTCATACAGATGGTTGATGAAAAATAATAAATCCATACTATAAACTTCAAAGGAAGCAACACTCCTTCGATGTTCGGTGTGATAAGGAAGAATTTGAAATGGTCCCTTGTGTTTCTTCCATATTGACTAATCCCTGTATATTTACACAGAAATTTGATTTGGTTAGGTATCTGCGAGTCGAGCCCTCCTGCATTAGTCGACCCAGCCGAAGTCCTTTGTGCAGCCTCATCGGACCGCATATGAATCGCTCTCCAAGGACCTGCACTTGCCGCAGCCGAAGATGCCATTGTGTTTGCGCCTTTTAGCATGTCCATGGCAATTTGTTTCCATTTTGGTTGCCTTATCGCCTTATGGCCATCGCCAAATTGTTTTTCCAGCCTCGCAGTGCATTAGCATTCGGGTAAGGGAGCTAAGGCATAGATGTCGTCATTGATCCGCCGATAGTCATCGAAACGGAGCCACCCCGGCCGCTAATGATGCCAGTCCCATCCATGCTTCATCCAGGTTTCATCCACATCCACATCCTCATCCCTCGAGGAGAGTCGAGTCCTGGAAATTGAATGCAGCTTAGCCGGCTCACCCGCTGCGTATTTGCGCCTTTGCCGCACAACAGGAATGCCGGACCCATGCCGGTCCATAATAATGATTATTGTAAAGATAAATCCCGACACCTCCAACAAAGCTGCTCAAATGACAAACGCCGGCTTAGTTGAGGAAGAACTGCAAATTCCTACTTATAACCCCAAGAACTAACAATGAGCGAATCTTTTACCGGCTGCAGAAATATCTAGTTGACTTATTATTAATGTATAGTAATGCTTAGAATGGCCAAACCTAAAATTATTCTAGGAAACTTAATATGTTGAACAAGCCCAAAGTGGAAAAAAGAGAGTTATAATTTGTCGAAGAACTAGAAAAGTAATATACATTTTTTTAGAGTATTGATAATAATTTAGGGTTTATTTAGAATTGTTTAGCTAAAGGCGGTGGTTTGTGAATGTTTATTGAAATCATATGATGCCATATATAATACTTGTATGTTTGGTTTTAAATCAAAATCGTTTGTAAGAGTTATCCTGTTCCCACTTTTCGATTTATGTTGCATTAAAACTTTAAAACCTCTGGCAGTAAGGCTTACACATATGACAGCTCTATTAAGGGCTAAGACAGACTTATTGTAATCTTCAGTCGCGATTGCGAATTCCTCACTGGCCTGGCAGCATCTTATCAGCTTTTCACCCTTTCCTTGTAACGGAAAACGTCAGTCAGTCAGTTATTCAGTTAGGCAGTTAGGCAGTGAAGCAGTAGAGCAGTAAACCAGTAAAGCAGTAAAGCATTCCCTCGACTCTCGCCGGTTCATTCAACTAAATAATTTGAGTGGCATTCATGCAGGTCCACTGGCTCACAGCTCATGTTTCAGGATTCCCGGTCCTGACTGCTGCTGTTGGTACATTCGTTTTGTAATTGTGTGGCAGGTGACGGCAATCTTCCATTGTTCGAGCTCCGAGGGCCGAGCCGGGAGTACGAGTTCGGTTTCTACTTGAACTCACCCCATGTCGAATTGTAAGGGCGAAAAGTGCCCCCTACGATAAAAACAAGCTGCAGTGCACACACACAAAGCCATTCGTTTTATGTGCACTGCAATATACAATATTTATTTGAATTTAAGTCCTTTGTTTGGGATCTGCAATCCGCACACAGCGGTACTGATTCCAGGGTTGTTTGCTTTGGCTACTATTTTTGACTTTGTCCAGGAGTTCGCCTGCTGCCCATTCTTCCCATTTGCGAACAATTTTCTGGCTCGTTTTGATCATCAACTTTATTTCCAAAAATAAATCTTTATGGCTTACATCGACGTACAATTCAATCTTATCACCTTAAAGTTCTGGCCCTGACTAGCTCGCTTTCCTTGCATTGCAATAACTGATATAGAATCTGACATACACTTAATCGACTGTATAGTTAATTATGGCTAATACCTGGTTCATTTCAATGATCGTTATAGTGAGGTCTTAAATCTAGAATGGCAAGGTACGTATCGCTTACACTAAATGGACAACCGATTTGTACTATATAGTCAAGTAGCATACGAATATGTTGAGAGGCAGAGTGCTTTTTGGAAAGATGATTACCCTAAGCACTTTGAATTCAAATATTCACCAGGGATCCGCAAGAAAAAAGCCAATGAATGCCAATATTCTTGGATTCAATATGAAATAATAATGAGTTAGTGAAGCTTTAGTTTGGATGGTCAGCTTTACATTGGTTGATCTATTGAGGATCCCGCTTTAACATGAAACTAATTGAGTTCAAGGATTAGCGTAAGTGTGGAATGTGGAATTTTTAAGCTATTCCATTTCCAAAGCTGACGATAACCCCAGCAGTCAATTAGGTGCCTCACTTATTACCAATATCAACGGATTGCCAGGCAGTTGAGAATAGTGAGCAAGGGAAACCCCGAGATGGGACCCATAAGTTACTTTAGTTTTCTTTGCAAAGTAAGTCGGGGGCAAGTCTCTTGGGGATTCCCCTTGATCAGTTTCCTGCAATACCCGGCAATCTTTTAGTATATCACGCTGAAAACCTAAAACCCTAAGATCGTAGTTTGGCCCCCAAAACTGTGCTACACCTGTGGGGCGAAGTGTTTGTAGCTGTGTGGATGTGGAACTGCATGCGCTTGTGCCTGATCCTCCGGATAGTCTTTCCATGGCGGCGTTTGCGAGTAGAAGCTGCTCTGCTGGTGAATCCCGGAATCCAGGTTAGTAGGATGAAGATTGGCAGCTGCATCGAAGGATCCCCTGAACAGATCGTATTTCTCCTGCGAGAACTGCTGCGGGCTGGACTCCTGCTGGGGATTAGGCTGCAGATGGTGAGGCTGATGCGGCTGCTGCGGCTGCTGCGGCTGCTGCGGCTGCTGCTGCTGTTGGTGGTAAAACCGCATGCTGCCTGTAAAGTCGAATCCAGGTGGCTGCTGCGGGTAGTCCATGCCGTGCTGAAAGCCACCCATCGCCGGCGGCTGCTCTGCCAGCGAAGATGGAGCGGTCTGATGCTGGACAAGAGGCGCCATGCCCTGGCCATAGGGGAACATTCGTCCGAACATGGGATACGGCTGTGGATTTACGAAAAGAGCATCGAAGAGCTCCTTGGTGATCCTCTCACCACTCAGCGTGAAGTTCTGCAGCTTCTCCAGATCCAGGTTGATTGAACCTCCGCTTTCCAGCACCTGCTCCAGGGCAAAGATATAGTTGTGCGCAAATCGTAGGATCTCGATCTTGGTCAGCTTCGTCTCCTCGGGGAGCGAGGGCAGAGTGACCCGCAGTTTCTCCAGTGCATCATTCAAGTTATGCATCCGATTCCGCTCCCGGTCATTGGCCTTCATGCGGCGGAATCGCTTGATCTTTACCACTTGGGTGGGACTGCGCGAGCGAGTTACTCTGTTCTTGCCGACGGCGTATTTGCGTTTCGGTCGCGGTGCATCCGGATCCTCTGGCGACTTCAACGGCGTACTAGTCAATGGCGGATCGAAGGCGCCAGTCGTGGCGCGACTGTTCAGATGCTCCACCAGCGTCCTGCCGCTCCGAGTGCTGTGATTGCTGCTCGTATCGAGTAGTCCCACGAAGCCCGCCGGCGGAGAGCTGAGCGGTACGGCGTCCCAGGTGCCGCCGGAGTACGGTTGCGGGATCGCCGGAGTCGGCGGAGTGCCGAAGTCCAAGCGGCGGCGCGAGCTCAACTGGGCCTCCGTCTCGAAGCTCTTCTCGTAGCCACTGTCGAAGGAGGCGTCGTCGTCGTCCTCGTCGAACTCAAAGGACTGCGATCCAGCGCTGTAGGCATTGTAGCAGGCCGCCATGATCTCGTATCTGTATCTCGGTGTGTATATCCTTAGCACATTTCCGATTTACGATTTCCGCTTTGAGAGAGTTGTTTCTTCGCGTCTCGCGTGCCCGCACCAACTAAAAGCTGGCGAGGAGTGCGCACCGGTTTTATGTGCCCGGCCAGCCATTAAGCCCGCTGATTTGGGTCCGGACTAACAGGCATCAACCCTCGGCGCATTGTCGTCGGTCGTGGCGGCGCCATAGCGCAAAGTAGAGAGCACAGAACCCTGACACAAATCCCAACAGATATGCGCCGTGATTGCTGCCCGGGGGTGGCTTTTGCCCACTCACACTCACACTCATACTCACAAACGTCGTCTAGCTGGAACTGCCGGGAGCGAGGTGAACTTCCTGGAGATGGAGATTCATGCCGCTACCAGTCAAAATACGAGCATTTTTCACGCTCCGCTGCGAGCGGTGCTCTCTAAGCCAATGGGAAGGATGTCTGCGTCCGAGGATCAGCGGTGCCGCCAACGGCATCATCAAAGGCCTTCTCTATACTCGTACCCTTTCCCTAGGGGTATTTAGATACCATGCGCTTATAACACATAAAAAACTCTAAAAGATTTTTATATTGAATTCATATAAATAAAATGTTGGTCAGTGCTTAAGATAATAATTTAAATAAATAGTAAAAATTTACAAGAAATTAATTTAAAAACCCCTCAGCCTAAGTATATAAATAAAAACAAGAAAATACTTTAATTGAATATGAAATCAAATCACTACGACTCTTTTATATTTTTGGACAGGATTTATTCCATTGCCGTACTAAGTAAAAAGTACTTACCAATGTATATATAGAGTATGAGTGTTTCGTGGACTAAATAAATTGTTTTATTATTTTATCGCAACATCGACCTAATGCGATTGCAATTCCACCGATTCAATTACCATCAACTCTTTCGGTTTTGGCCACTAAACCGCAATAATCGTTTAGGGCTTACGCCTGTCGCTAAACGGGTTAGTGGCACGTGGCCAGGATACCGCCTCCACTTTCCAAAAGCAACATGTGTACTCAGCGAAAGGTCCCACTCCCTGAGGACGCCATCCTCCTGAAACGAAGTCCAAAACCCAGGCGTTGGCACGTGCCGCGGTCTTAGCGGCTGCTCAAGTGGCCAAGTGTGCCGATGTGGGCTTCCTATCTGCAGCAATCCTGTTCGAGGAGGAGGATCGGAGTTGCACTTTAAGTGGCCGACGGGTGCCACGTGCGGATTTGTTATGATATGCGGCAATCGCCGCAAATTGCCAACACGAGTGAGAACTTGAGTGTCAAGGGGCTAATTCAGTAATATGCTACATTTGAGGCAGTTTTAACGCTGGTTGTTGCCTAATGGATATTAATTGAGTGCTTTTGTTATACAAAAAAGGACCATGCTTCAGTAAACGTATCACCATTAAATTTTTTATTTAATGTGGTATGCCTCCACTGTATGGAAATATAGGAAATAATATGGGAATTAATATAGGAATTAATAACTTCATATCTTGGGTTGCTTTTCTGGCTAGTAAGAAGAGCTGTAGGCCATTGATGCTGTTTGATTAAAAGATTTCAGTCTCAAGTTAATAAGCAAATACTGAAGGACATACCATTTTATTTATTTATGTATAATAATTTTGCTTGCAAGATCAGGAAACAAAACGTGCTCACGTTAGTTCTATATAATTTTATATTGAAGTTTTAAACAGTATTAATGCTAATTTGTATCATTATGCTTATATAAGAGCTAAGTACTACTAAGAACTTGGCCTACATGAGAAAAACATCCCTGCCCGGCTTTTCAACTTCAAACCACTTAATGATTGATATACGTATACATATATATTGCCACTAAATTTCACACCAGCAGCCACGTGTCGCCGGCGTCGTCATCGGTGTTACAGAGCTCCTCCGCCGCGTGTAGCTAATTTGGTTCTTTGGAACCACAATGCGCATCAATTAGGCAGTTAATTGAAGAGCGGATGCGTTTGCTTTTCCCATTGAGTGCCGGCCAGGACTCGATGAGAGTTATTTTTAAAGGCCTTCGGGCGTCGACACAGTCCAAATAAAAACCGAAATACAAAGCCGGATCCGGAAACTTGGTCAAACAGATGTACACGTAAATAATTTCATCAAAATCATGGCGTTTTGCTAGCCAAAGCAAATACCAAATGTGCCTCAGGCTAATTGCATTCTAACAAGCGAGACAAATTCGATTTTCCCAGCTATTCTCCATCTTCCTTGCACCCTCTGCTTTTCCCACATTCTGCACTGCGCAACCTCCGAACATCCCTTCGCCGGCATTCGTTCCGGACACGTAGAACATCGCCTCCGGCTCGGAAGCAGGCTCGACTTGTCAACAGCGTGTTAGAATGGTATGATGGCCTCCTCGTAAAGCGGATCCATCTCCATGGCATGCGTGAAGTGAATCATCGGGTGGTTAGCTGCTGGAATTGGTGAGTTGGAGGAAAGGGAGTCCGAGGACAGCTCGATCACATCCGGCTGAAAGGATGGCGTTCGTCGTAAAATTGGCTGCGTCTTACACTTTGGCCCGCTCCGTCCACGACTGCGTCCTCGTCTTCGTATCGCAGAAACAGACCGGGGCACCTCCTCGAGATCTGTTGAGGAATCGGAGGTTATGTGCTTGAAGACCGGTTTGACCATCATTCGAGGCGATGGAGTGGACGATTCCGAAGGAGCTGGCGAGTCCGATGTGATGTGCACAAACTTCTTGAAGCGACGCCTACCATATTTACGGTCATCGTAGCTGTTTGTGGATGCATTGCTGTCTTCGGTGTGGGAGCGACTCTGGCTGTTCAGACTCGCCGTGAGCCTTCTTTGGCTGCGACGCGTCTGGTCGTGATAGAAGTTTACCAAATTGGTTCGCTTAACACGCACTCTTACTCCCCTGAGTTTTTCTATGTCCTGTGGTGTCAGCCTGGTTAAGCACACTTGAACGGAACGCGTCAGGCACTCCTTGATGAGACGATTACTCTCCGCTTCCATGGTATCGCTAGCAGAAGATCTGGAACTGGGTTCGTCGTTCACTGTGTCAAGTCTCAACCGCTTGTTCCTCGGCTTCTCATCACACAGCAGTGACTCCTCCGCGGTGTCGGTTTCCGTCCCGGTTTCTGTTGGCGTTGCTATTTCATTGGGTAGCTGAGCATTCCCTAAGCGCTGCATGTTGATAAGCCTCTCTTTTTGCATCCTAGTATTCGGCAGATCCCTTTCCAGTTGTCCGGCTTCTAAACAGTTTTTAGTTTGTCCAGTTTCTTTTAGCCTTTCGGCCGCTTGTCTAGTTTCCAGTCCCTCTGTTTTGAACTGTCTATTTGATGCGACTTGTTTAAGATCCCTAGATTTAAAAAAATCTGGATTTATCTGGCTTGCTTTTAGGGCCTTTCCCAAGTTCCCTTCTTCTGGCTGCCTAGTGCCCAAAGGCTCCTGGGTTTGTTGTCCAGTTCGTAGGGGCTCCTTGGTCGTACAATGAAAGTCCGGAGGCTTCTGTAACACTGTTGTAGCTTCTAGGGTCTCCTGGATCATATGCGTCTCAATTTCACCAGTGGGCTGCAACACTTCTGGGTCCGTGGTAAAATCAGACTTTGTGATCGGCCAAGGTGTTAGCTCTTTACTTACACCAGGAGAACCTTCGCTGACCTCCTCCTCGTTGAAGTCGTGCGTTGCCATGGTGGATGTTTCGGAGTTTACGCTCTCGGTTTCCGATCCTGTGTGAACGTTTTTTGCCGCGGACTGTGGACATGGCTGCATGGGTGCCTTTGCTGCTGTTGCCATTTTGAGGGTCTTCCAGTTCTTGAATTTGCTTAGGACCGAGCTGCACTCCATCAGGTTGTTGCTCTCGCAGACCACGTTCTGCAGCTCTTCCTTCTCAAAACTCCATATGTCGGAGAACGCCTTAAAACCGCCGGTTTCATTGCTGAACTTGGTTCGTGCCTCCATTAGATCGCCAATTGTGCGCTTTTCGCCACTGGCAGATGTTTCTTGAAGACACAGTTGTTGTGGAGGCTCGACTGCGATTTTGGGCTGCTCCTCGAGGTTGGACTGTAGATCATAATGGTGTTCCGATGTCTCTGGAGAGCTCGATCGTCGGCCACCGCGTACACTTCGATCCATGTCAGACAACATGGCATTGGCTACCATGGCAGCGGCTCTTACCCGAGTCCGGCGTCCATTTCCAGTGTAGTAGAGCTCCGAATCGCTTGAGGCAGCCTCCTCCTCCTCCTCGTCTTCCGAAAACACTATATGGGTATTTGAAAGTAAAATAATTAGTATGACTGAATCTAATGTTTAAGAAAGGCATATTTTGCAACGGACTCTAAAGCAAACGATTTTGTGTTTACCTTCATCCCAGAACTTGCGTTTTGCGGGTCGCCGCTTTTTCTGCTCCTTGGCTTTCTCTGCTTCATCGTCCACTGCTGTCGTCGGTTCAGCTTCTTCCTCAGCCTCCGGGAGATTAACAGCATTTTCGTAGCCCTCTTCTATGGTTCCGTAGTCCAACTGTGGTCGATCCCTGTACTTGGCATAGTCGATCTGGAGATACTTCAAGTCGTCGCCCGCCTCGGCCATGTTGAGGGACACAAATTTTCTCTTCAGGTCCTGGCTTTTGAGTAGGGCATGGCAACGTTCGTGTAGCGTGTGCCAATCGAGGGCCCATGAGTATCGTTTATTCCGTGGTTGAAAGACCACGGTCAGAAGGTCCTTGATCATGCTGCGGGGAAGCCGCAACGCCTGTAGCGACTTGTAAATAGGATCGTAGTCGGCCACTGGAGCGTTATGGTTCGTTATGGTCACAATCTCGTCCACGTCGATGGTGGAGCTCAGCAGTTCGTATTTGACGTTGTGAGGTGTGGTTGCAGGGAGCCAGTCCTCCTCCTGTCGCTTTTTCTTGATCCGCGAACAGCGCCTCACTTCGTTATAATTTGAGGATGTGGGGTGGAGGTAGAAAGCAGTCAGCCAGAATTCTGCCTCCATAAATCCATGATCAGAAAACACTTTGGCCAGGTCAGCATAGTTTGCAGACATCTTTTGCTCCAAATTAAGCATAAAATCAACGGTCAGTCCGGGATGATATTTCCATATTTCTATTGCATTCAACTGTTGTCCAATGATCTTCAGCAGTAGGGCAATCTTAGCAAATTTCCAGCCTGAAAAATTCTATAAGAAAGCACGTGTTTAATGGAGATATTGCTTTGGTTAGTTCTCTTCACTTACCCGTTCTGCCAGCAGCTTGTACACAAAGCTCAAAACTTCCTCA